GGAGAGGAGAGGAGAGGAGAGGAGAGGAGAGGAGAGGAGAGGAGGAGAAGGAAAGAAAGAGAAGAGTCCCAGTGTCTTTGGAGGCTGTCATTAACGACTGAGCGCCACAGACTTTGGGATGAATCTATAATCTTCCAAGGGCAATGTGCAGACTCCCACTGGTCTCTCTGGATGTTAGCTCTGTTCTGCCCATATCACCCCTTCTGGGGAGCTGACACCACTGGTATTTCTGTCTCTACCAGCCTAACCTGACTAACCTGCACACAGGGTGCTGTGTCCCCACTAAGGTTCCCTGGGGACTCCACCGGCTGCTGCTTGACTTCATGCGTGACAGACCAGAGCAGAGCTAAGCACCAACCCCTCTGGGTCCTTTCTTTCTGGCCTCTTTTCTCTCTACCTCTGGGTTCATTTTGTCTCTCTGGTACACGCTTTCAAGCCATTACAGAGATAGAAGTAATGTTTCCATCCAAAGAGTCTATTCAGCAATAGCAGGAGCACAAAACCTCCCGGCTGTGTGGTGCCCAGAGCACTCAGTGCCTGCCCAGCGTGGCCTGCAGCATTTTGCAGCCAGCTGCACCACATGGCAGCTTTCCTGCTGTTGTAGGAGGAAATCTCAGGCTGGCCAACAGGTCCCTGAAAGCCAGATTAGCCTCTGGATCTCTGGTGGAGCTGGAACATTCGAGAGGGGCATAGAGATCTTCTGTGGAGCGTGTCTCCAAAGCTGCCCTGCTGCCCGGTGCATTATCAGCCTCCAGAAACCAGCTAATGCTCAGGAGCTGTGCAGGAGTGTAAGCACAGGAAGAGTTGTAAAACTAACTGGTTGTAGGGCAAAGACCTCACATTTTTAATGACACCCTTGTCCCTGTGGGAGATCTCATTTATTCAATGGATGATTCTGACCAGACGCCCTGTGAAGAATTGTCATGTGGTTGGATTTGGTTAAAGCAAGTGCTCCCTCTTCTCCAGCAAGTCCCTTTGTATTGTCCTTTTTATCAATATGTTGCTCGAGAACAAAGATTGAAACTGAGCTGTGTTGTCAGGGCAGGATTTCCCTCAACTGAGCCAAAGGAGACCCTCAGGGAGCAGGGGGTGTTGAGGCCTGGGCTGGGCACTGTGGGGACCCTCAAATCCCTTTTGGAAGAGACTTGACCTGAACATGCAAACCTGGGGATCAGCAAGAGACACGGAGGTGTGTGTGTATCTGACTCATTTCCTGGGCTGAGGGTGGCCAGGGAGGCCATCCTCATCCATGGAGAGGAGAGGGAGCCCATTTCCTGGGTGTCAAGATGAGGTTTTGGATGCCAACAAAACTCACTGGAGGAGGACACGCTCACGGAGGGTGGCAAGAGCTGGCTGCTTGGTTGCTCAAGCCCAGGAATTTCCAAAGACAGGGATGCAAAATGTCACCTTCAAATTCTTGTGACTTTGGGGATCAATTTGGAGATCAGCTTCCTTTTGGGAAGCCACACCCAGCAATCCACACATTTCTTTAGAGCCTGGATACCAGCACGTGTACTGGGTGCTTCTGGTGTGGGAGCTAAACCTCAGCCAGCAGCCTGGCCCTGCTGCAGGGGGGCTGTGGCTGAGCCCCCAGGCTGGCTGGAGAGGGGCTGCAGTCCCATCCTGCTGCCTGACCAGCACGGCCTGAAAATGGCAAGGAACATATTGCCAGAGCTAATCTGGGGGAGCGAGATGCTCACTGACCCTGCTGGGACTCAGGTCCATTTGATGTTTTTATTACTTCTGGAGGCTGTTATTAATCATATTGTATCACTTCACATCATTCAGCTGCTCTTTTGAAGCAGTGGAACAGGCTAGTGCTGCACAGGGGTCTCAGGCAGTGGCTCTTTGGGGTGCTTTCATCACCCTTAACATTCTGCAGAGACCACTGAGGAATGCACTTGGCAGCATGAAATTCTTCATCCTGTCATCTAATTGCAACAGGGAATAATGTTTCATCTACTGACAGACAAGCTGTGACTTGGGACTGAAGTCACCAGAAGCAGCCAGGTCCCTTTCATGTCCAGAGCACAGTCCTCCTGGGTCCCAGACTCCCACAGGACCCCTTGGAGTGTTCCTTGTCCCCTGCTGCCACTGCAGAGCACGTTACCCACTTGTAGGCAAGGACTTTCCTGGGTTAATCCCAAAAGCTGAATTGCAGCTTCCCCAGGCCTTCCCTGCCAGCAAGCAGGAGGCAGGAGAAGGACAACCATGGTGTGGCCACCTCAGGACTTCATCCAAAGATGAACTGCTTCCCACATCAGGTCAGGAGTCCTTCCACCAGCAGGCACAGGCTTGCCTGTCCCCAGGCACACCCCCAGGTTATCTGTGTGACTCCAGAGGGAGTGGTGGGTGCTGAGCATCCATGGGAAAGCTTCAATGAACGACAGAAGGCAACACTCAATAACAACAACAATCTGTTCCTGCCAGATCCAGCCCCTCTTCCCTGGCAGGTTGAAGTCCTTTATGCCCACACTTCAGTGCAAATCCCTGCACAGTCTCTGCTCTACCTGTAGCATGGAGCAGGGAGCTGTGACATCCCAGGGCCACAGAGATGATCCAAGGGCTGGAGCAGCTCTGCTCTGGAGCCAGGCTGGGAGAGTTGGGGTGTTCAGCCTGGAGAAGAGAAGGCTCCAGGGAGACCTTAGAGCAGCTTCCAGTGCCTGAAGGGGCTCCAGGAAAGCTGGGGAGGGGCTTGGGACAAGGGCAGGGAAAGATGGGATGAGAGGGGATGGTTTCAAGCTGAAGGAGAGGAGACTGAGATGAGATCTTAGGAAGGAATTCTTTGCTGTGAGGGTGGTGAGAGCCTGGCCCAGGTTGCCCAGGAAAGCTGTGGCTGCCCCATCCCTGGCAGTGTTGAAGGGCAGGTTGGATGGGGCTTGGAGCAGCCTGGGCTGGTGGGAGGTGTCCCTGCCCATGCAGGGGTGGGACTGGATGATCTTGAAGGTTCCTTTCAACTCAAACCAGTCTGTGATGCCATGATCTCCAACACATGGCTCCTACCAGCCAACACCCCAAAGTGCTCCTGAGACCAGGGAGGGAGGGAAGGGCACCTTGACCCCCCAGCAGTCAGGTGAAGTGAATAGAATGAGCTCTCCAGGGCTGCTCAGGCAACTAAGGAGGCCAGAGGGACATGCATGTCTACTGAAGCCCAGGGCCCTGCTCCAGGAGCTGAGCAGCAGTTTCTGCTGTCACAGGCAGCTCAGGGACAGCCAGGACCCAGGGTGAGTTATTAAAATATGATTTATTGGTACAAATCAGACATTGTGAAACAAACTGGCTTTATAAAGAGCTGTCACATTCTGCACAGATGGGTTGGAGATGAACTGTCCCGTGACAGGAGCAATTGGCAACACCAGCTGACAGACTGGGTGGACAGGTGGAGGGTGAGCATGGCAGGGGGGGAGACTGTTCTGGGGCTGGAGTCCTGCCCATGAGGGCTCCTGAGAGCCAGCTAGAAGTTCTCAAAGAGAAGTAGGGTACAGCAGGCGATATCTGTCCTCTGCAAGGGTTCCCTCAGGTGCTCAGGACTTGGGAAAACAGAGATTGGGAGTGGGACAATCACAGCCATGGCCCAGAAGGCAGGAGGAGGAGAGAAGAGGACTGTCACCTGCACTGTGGCCCCTCTGATGGCTGGAAATTCTTTCAGATTATGTTGCCTTGGGCCAGAGAGTTACCCAGCAGGGCCTCATCTTCTGTATCTCTCAGATGCTTCAGCTAACAGCTCTTCTGGCCATCCAGTCTGTGTGTGCTCCAGCCCATCCTGCTCCTGAACAAAGACTAGCTGGACCCTGGCTGTGTCCTGGACTTTGGTTCTCCAGTCCTGGGTTTGAAGGTTCATAGTGGCTGGGTTTTGCACTGACTTCCTGGAGAAGCCAGACTCCAAAGGTTGCTCTGGACATGCAACACATCCCACCGGATCTCAGGGATGGAGCAAAGGTCTCTGCCCTGCTCCACAGGGTCAGGCTTGACTGAGCCAGGCTTGGTCTGGGTATGTTTTCCATGGGGCAGAAATACAGGCATGCAGCTTGGTACATTCACACAGCCAGACAAGACAAAGAGGAGACAATGCTTACAGACATGGTGGGACCCTAAGGGGACACAGGAAGGGATAAACTCCAGGCAGATTTGCTTAACTCTGGTCATACAGACCCCCAACAGCACTTGCTGCTAACAAAGCTCTGCAGGATGAGATGGGAGAACCCCACCCTGCTCCCCCCACTCCATCTGCCCATCCCTTTCAGTTCTCAGTCTGTTGCTCCTGAAATCCTTCCTGCTTGCCCTGGTGAGCCACGATCTCAGCAGCCCCACAGAGTCCTGGGTGGTCCCAACATGGATCTGTGTGCTTGGGGGGGGACGTAGCAGCTGAAGTAACATGAGCCAGCCAGACCTAGCACTGGTCATTATTTCAGGTCGTTGTTGATAACCACACTGTCATGCATGTCACAGTAAGTTGTCATCTTCTTCCTCTTGCCAAAGGTGGAGAAGCTGTTCTTGTTCTCCCGGCCCAGGAAGAGGGGCCCGTCCTTGCCCGAGAGCAGAGTGGGGGTGCCGGGGATGTAGACGTTGTGCTGGTAATCAAGGGCTGGGATGTAGCCCGGGTACAAGGAGCTGTACTGGGGGGTCCAGATGCTGTTGGTGCCTGCAGAAGTCTTCTGAAACTCTGGAGAAAGGGTGAGTGTGAGACTGGCTCAGGGGAGGTCACATCTACAGCTCAGTGGGATGGTCACATCCATGGCCCAGGGGACAAGCCTGTGGCCATGTGTCACCAGCCTCCCTTGAGCACCCCTCCCACCCCACAAAAACAACCACTGCCAAGAGCAAGGATGTGTCCCCCCTCATTGCACCTCCACCAAACAACAGGAGGGTCTGGCCTTCCCAACCCCACTGCCTCAATACTAACCTGATACAGGGGTCACCAGCGTGCGCAGCCTCTCGTGCTCCTTCTGCAGGGCTCTGCGGATTTCCCCCATGTCCTCCAGGCTCTGGGAGCTAAAGAGAAGAGACCAGTTCAAAGCTGTGTTGGAGGTGACCTCCCTGTCCCCACATCTCCCTTCCACCCCTCCCTCTGTTCCAGCAGTGCTGGATCTGGTACCTCTTCAGGACAGGTCTCTGTGTGCTGGGAGGCAGCCAGTCCGTGTTGGGCTGCTTGACCTGGAAAACACAGGGAAGTGAAAGGCTGGTTATTGGGACCCTCTGGGAATCAGCCCAGCCCTGCCAGTACGAGGCTTTGGTAGCCAGGGATACAGGACCCC